AATTTAACTCTTATGCTCAATTAGCCCAATGTTCTGGGCTTGCAAGGGATCTAATTATCCAAATGGACTTGTAAGATTGGCTGGCTTGTAGCTTAATGTGTTGTTTGAATACAGGCACTTAGTGACAAGTTATTTTCTTTTCAACTTCATTGTATATACAGGCTCTCCTGAGACCCAGCTTACAACCATTGCTTCCTTCAGCACCACTGAATGAAGCCAATAAACTTTATGTGATCAAGGATGATTTGGAGGCATTTCCCCAGCAAATGTTCCTTTCAACAAGTCCAGCAACTGGGAGAGTTTCCACAGAGTATTCTGAAGCAATTGTAGGGCAAAAGGAAGGAACACTTCCCAAGCCTCATAACAGAGTTAATGCCAGTGAGAAGGCAAAGGCAGGCCTTCACCTTGATTATGTTGGTATGGAATTCAGTCACAAAGCCATGCAAAAGTTTCCAGAGAATCTGCCTATGAAAACAGTCCATCTCTAACAGTTGTTGTCCAAAAGCTCAGGAAGTGAAGAAGAATCGCCAGTATCTAGCTGCGCTCGAGATCCTCTGAAGTAAAGCCGATGATACTTCAGGCAGTAAGCCGATCCTCAGAAAGTATACCCAAATACGAGCAAAATCGTCTTACAGTAGATGGAAGAAATGTAATTAGAATTCATAGTGGCATAAGTAGCAATTGTTTGATAGATTCTAATCAATCTTATTGAAATTATTTATTTCATTACATTGCATATATCATTGGGAAGGGTCTAATTATAATTACAAATACAGCTCAGTTTAAGCTCTGTCATGCAATTATATTAATTTGTACCATGGGAATTATTTTTAAGCCTAATGATTTGAGTTTTACTTGGAGCAATTCAGCACTATATTTCTAGAGGGATGTTGTGAACTATTGAACCTATAGCTTAAACGGCTTAGGCACCATCTTGTTCCGTTCTTTGCAGATATTTTTTCTAATGTACATTATGTCCAATGTTTTTCACAATTCAGTTCTATTTATAGCAATGTAGCAAAATACATATTTTAAATTGTGCTACTCAAGTTGTCAAAGCTTGAACAGTTTCTTCAATTAACATTACAGTAGCCTGAAATCAAAGGGCCACATTGCTTTTGATCCCTAAAGTTATATGAAGTAAACAGATGCTACAACAGAAATTAATATATCAAATAACTATATTGATATTTTTGCAATGAACTGTTTTTTTTAGTTAAGCTTACAAATTTTCTCCTGAAGCTCTCTAATATGAATAAAGCCACTTAGAAATTAATATTTACCAATCAGTTTATGCTATTTAGTATTTAAACTTTATGGACAGGAACTTGCTCAATTACTCATGCTGTAATCACTATTTCTTTGTCTATGGGGCTACCCCTGAAGACCACTCAGAAGTTACAACTGGTCCAGAATGCAGCAACGTACTGCTGTACACTCAATTTGTCCATATTAATCTATTATGCAAACCTCTCGCTTTCCGGATGCAATCCAAGGTGCCAGTTTCCACTTTTAAAGTGCCACATGGCAGAAGGCCAGGTTATTTTCAGGGCTGCCCACTCGGTTGGATAGAGTGGAAAACTCCAGGTCCCTTCCTTTGAATATTACCTAGTGGGAAGTATAAAGTGTGCCTTTTTCATGGAGTTATCTCCCACCCATCCCCAAACCCAGGAGCCAACAGAACCTTTTAGTCTTCCCCCAGACTTTAGGATAGGAGCTGGGGACCTGTGGGTTTCTGCTGGATGTATTCAAGAATGGCAGAGATGCCAGATTTTGGTTTCATTTTCTGATTTATATTGTTGTGAATTGCCCAGAGTTGCATGCGAAGATGGGTCAGCTATAAAATTGTTTAAATGAAATAAAATAGTATTTAAAAAAGGCATAACACTGAGCTAGTAATTTTCAAAAAAATTCTTTTTAATCAGAGACTCAGACTGGAACTGGTTTGATAGCAGAATGTGTGGTAAGGCAGTGGAAATTAAAACAAGTACAGTATCTTTCATGCTTTCCAGTTTAACCCCCCCCCCCCATTGTGTTATGACTTTATCTTTGATGGCACTGTGGAATAAGTTACTTCTAAATTTATATTGCTAGAACTCTTGGAAGGTGCAAGGTAAATCCCAAACTTGTTTAATTGTTCTAACGTGTTTTTAAGTCCTATAACGATCTAAAACTACTATTCCCAGTGTCTTGTCAGCAACATTTACCAAAGTTAGCTTCTTTGGCACCTGTGCAGATAGAAGCTCCTTCCACATTTATTCAAGATGCTATGGCAGACAACAGGATCATCATATGCACCCATTATACAATCCTTGCATCTCCAAATCTGTCATTTCTATATGTGACATTAAAGACAGATTACTCTACAACCTTGAGCTACACATTTGTGAAGTAATAATGCATGAGCAGAAAGATAGGCTGTGTCCTTGCTAACAATTTTGTGGAAATTTAAAAAAAGTAAATTCAACTTGAGAACTTATATGTTTTTAAGCTGACAGCACTATCTTATACAGTCTTTTTGGTCACATTGAAATAAATTGTATACTTTGGGATTTTTTAACAACTGTTTTCAGAATTCTGTAAGGAAGCCTGTGCAGTCTTTGCTATTTCTCTTCTTTGCTCTACATCTTCCTGTCTTCATCTGCCCCCCCCACCCCCATTGCAACTTTTGGAGGAATCTGAGCCCTCAGGAAAAACTGTAGAACAGTGGTTCTCAACCTTTTTAATGCCGCGACCCCCAACCGGTCGTAAGTCGAGGACTAAACCGGTCGTACGTCGAGGACTAAACCAGTCGTAAGTCAAGGACTACCCAACCGGTCGTAAGTCGAGGACTTTCCCTGCCCGGGAGCGCCGCGCATGCGTGGTTCCGCCCCCTGCGCCGGCCGAGGCGTAGCTGGCAAGCGGCAGAGACGGAGCAGGCTGACCACCAGCTGGCCCAGCTCAAGGGAGGTAAGACACCCACCGGAAAAGGGGAAAAAAATGGCGGACAGCCTTGCTTGGCGACCCCCGTGAAATGGTCGATCGACCCCAAATGGGGTTGCGACCCATAGGTTGAGAACCGCTGCTGTAGAAGAAAAGATCATGCAAACACTGACTACAGTATTCTTCAATTTGGTGCAATATTTTGTATAATGAAATGTCTATGTATTCCTGTGGAACTACACAGAAACAAAACAAAAAGTGTCTCAATGATCTGATGCAATTTCAATAGGAAAAGAGGATTTCATTGTAGACTTACAAGACAACCTATTCAGCTACTACATTAATTTTAAATTGATCCCAATCAAAGATTCACTAGGCCAACTGTAACCATTTCAGCCTCTGCTTGTAAATTAAAGTAATACTATCTTTGGCAATATATGTAAAATAATTTGGAACATTTGAGAAACATAAAGTACTAACCATTACTTTATACTGAAAAGTTATAAACTTTTAATACATACCTCCTCTGTATTCCATTTTTTTTTAACTTTGCTATATACCAACGCAAACCAAAGTATCCACATAACAAAATGCAGCTATTGTAGTAAATGATAATCAACTTCCAGGCATTACTTTAAAAAGCAAATCAAAACTACTTCTCTAAAATACTAAAATTTATTAGTGATGGTACCAAAGATAGCAAGTATACAATCTTTGCTCTACGCTACTTACACATCATAAATATGACAGCTGCTGTTCCAAGACACAATCTTTCACAGTTCTTCAAGAAGCATGAGATTTGTCATTGCTTTATCAGAATAAGCTGTTCGCTAGCCAACTTCATGTGGCATAAACATCAAAAATTACTGTCCATACTTTACATGGTAAAGCATTCACTAAAGTTTTATTTTTGAAGAAACTTTAGACTGTAACAAAAAAAAAATCTCACCCAACAATGAGCTACTAAAGCAGTGTCACAATCTATGGGCTCTATTACTTTATAGCTTCCATTTTTCTATAAATACTCACCTATCTGTCCATAAACAGAAATATTGAGAACACAAACTGAAAGCTATATGATTATTTGGCTTTTCATACCTTTTTTCAGTGCTATAAAGCCATATAATTGTATTACATTGTATTCAAATAGTTCTTGATTTTACAACAACTGTATTATAAGATACAATCCTTTGCTGTAAATTTTAAAGGGCTGCAATGAGGCCAGAATGAGTTGCACTCATCATAGTTATTTTCTTTCAGATCTTTATCAAACAGAACAGAAATCTTAATTTCTGTTAATTTCTTTACTTGTGATGTTACACAAGTAGTATAGAAATAACCTCTTAAATACATGCTTTTAAAGGGAGCTTTTATGCTCCAGTCCTGTTGAGAGGTAAATTACTTTTATTTAGCACTATTCAACTGCCTGATTCAGTATATGATCTGAAAAAATGTATGGATTAACTGGATTGTATGCTGGATCATGCCCGCCTTTTTATGGTCCCTAAACAGCAATTATATTAGCTAGGGATAAACTCAAGAGATCTTCAAATTATTTCAAATAACTAATGGTTGATATGATTGACATCTTTCAAATGCTTGCCTACTGGTGTGATTGAATCATCAAAAAGAGCAACTCATAAACAGAGAAATTAAAAAAAAAACCTCTAGGTTACCAGAAATCACTATTCCCTGTGTCAAAGGCACTAAAGCATCAGCTTGTGCTCTACATCTCCATTCAAAAGTAAAAATTCATTTTTCGCTTTCTGTTCTATTTGCAAGTTACTAGGCACCCTGTAATACAACTCAAGACAAAGTCAGTTGTTTGGAATTACTACATAGATGTGCTTATAATTGGAAGAATGGAACTCTAGTACAAACATGGATCTTCTTTTTAGAATTAGCATGCATTGATCAACTACTAGTTAAGAGAAGAATTTTAGACTTATGTTCTAAAGAATTTTTTTAAAAATATAAAAAGAAAGTCACAAACAACAGAGGAAAGAATCTTCACTTGCCTTTGTGGGCATAAACACAACTATAAAACTGTGTTGGGTTAAAACTTTTCATCACTGTAATTTACAACATCAAGGGAAATATGTTTATTTCTGCACCATTTCCAAGCACATCATCAAAACATATCACGTGGAGTTTAGTTTTAAAACCATAAGAAAAACAAAATTTATCAACCTACAAATATTTTAACAACTTCCAAATGTATCTCTGTGTAGCTTTTCAGGATAGTAGACTGCAACCACTTTTTATTTTACAATTTGACCATTGCTGTTTGGTTTTGTCATAGCATATCCTATTGGTCAGCCTTGGCTTCTTGTGTGTCCTCAAACTGACCAAACCATTAAGACTGGAATAGCTGCTAGCACAATTTGGTATGTCCAGTTGATTGCTTAATAATTTTTTATCCTCTTTTGATGGATTTTTGAGATCAGAGAAAAAGTCTTGTTTCTTTTGCAAAATGGGTCAAATGTCCAATCAACATTCTACACATCTTCAGTTTTAACTGAGATTGTTTCTTCATTTGGTTGGCAATTCCCATTCTGTTGTTGTTCCATTTCTGCTGCAATTGTTGTCTCCTCTTCCACTGCTGCTTTATGGATTTCAGAATTTTTATTCTCTTTACTGAGTTCTTTATCCTTTATAAATAAAGAAAAAATATTTAAAAGACAAGAAATAAAAAATACACATCAAATTTATCTAATTGATTTTTGAGGGTATGCACTCTCATGCACTCCAAAATTTGAATTTTAAAACATTTTTCTCATATTAACCACAACTTTGTAAGAAATGTCTGGCACTTAAGCCTATTTTGTTGTATAAGATATATTTTGAGATCCATTGACATTCTTGCTATAGAAG